AGACCAGGGGGGTCCAAACATTCTTCACTGAGGGCCACATACAGAAAAACATACGAAGGGCTGGGCCCCTCACTAGAGCTGATGTAAAATGCCTCATAAGTTAAGTTATCAGTTAGCAAAATCAATCAAATGTAGAAAAGTTATTCTTGATACTTGAATATGCCTTAAGAAAAACCAGCCTCAATCACAGCTCTCCAGAGGGTTTCCTTTATTTGGTTACAAACAGTGTTGGCAGCTCATCCCTTAACACAGGAGCCTCAGATTGAATATACAAAGGGGAAATATGAAGGGTCTATTTCAAGCTGGTAATGGAATTATGATATCTGGCTTTTTTTATCAACTAAGATTAGTTAGAAAATGTTCTCAACTTGAATTGACTGATTTGATTTGAAAATGAGGCATATTAACACATGGATACTGTGCAGTGTGCAATATATTGACATATTTCAGAAGTACAATTAAAGACAAGCACAAGTTTTATGTGTGGGCCATATTCCATTATACTTTTAGAATTTGGAAACCCCTGATGTAGATAATAAAACAGGGAGACCTTTTAGGACTACATTTCCAATTTATTTTCTCTTTTTTTTTTTAATCAATCAATGCAGTAGGGGATGCTTTACATACTTTAAAGCCAAGATAATATTTTTAAATCTACTTCATTTAATTTGTTTTATCTGTGAAACTGGTGGGAAACACAGATGGATTTGTTTTCATATTTTACTTTTTTAATGTAAAGTACACTAGACTGTTTTGGTATATCAAATAAAAATAACATTCTAATGTCTTCAGTAGATTTTATAGTGTTTAGATACTCTTAGATACTTCTTTACCGAGAATATGTATATATTGTGTTTTAACTTTTAATGTGTATTTTTATTTGATTTGTATTTGATTCTATTTTAAAAGGACATTTTGTAATTCTTGTAGTGCCGTGACAAAACAATTTCCAAACTTGGGATAAAAAAGAAAAGAATCTATGTATATAACTTGCCAGTTCTGTGCATGTAACCATGAATAACGACTAAAGGTCAATATTACGCATCTATTTCTTTCTTTTTTTAAAGGATTTCATAAAGATTATCCCATCAACCCTTTTTCTGACCAGTTTGTAAATACTAAACTCAGGAGAGAAGAGCCGAGGGATCAGACTTGGCAGATAGATCACTAACACTTCATGTGAATGCCTCCGAACCTCTCTAACTTTTCTTTCCGGAGCAGAGGTCAGGTACCTTCTCTTTGGAGATGTTCAGCTTGCTTCCAATGATCTCGGCCATTCGCAGGCGGCCTTCAGGACGGGACAGCATGGCAGTGAAGCAGTCCAGAGCCTGGAGAGAGACATTATGGAGAGAGACATTATGGAGAGACATCAGTCGATAGAAATCATTCATCCTCAATCAACACCCGATGTACAACCAAAACACATTTGTACTTCTAAAAATAGAAACGGGTATTCCAGTGCAGTACGACTAACCTCCTAGCAGGGTTGGGAGGGTTACTTTAAAAATGTAATCCGTTACAATAACTGATTACCTGTACAAAATGTAATCAGTAACCTGATCTGAGTATCAACATTTTAAAATAATGTAACCTGATTTCACTGTAACACTGTCATCCTGCTCTCTTTTTTTATGTAACAGTAATCGGATTACTTATTTGTATAATGTAATTGTAATCAAATACAGTTACCTTTATTTTGTATCCTGATTAAGTAATCTCATTACATGTAATCCAATACTTTCAACAGGCTGTCTGCTGGCCTCTGCGTGGGACAGATATTTATCCTGTGTTGAGAACATTTTAGCAGAACAAACCCACTGACCTCCTGGAAGACGTTCTGTGCTGTGGCTGAAGAGGTGCTGTCGAAGTTAACACTGATCCGCTCACACCACTTCAGCAGGTCCCTGAATGGACACACATCAAGACAAAACATACAATTAAAATGAGTGTAACAACGTTTTTGTTTTTTTATGAAATGTAGATGTCAGAGACGGTGTGTAAGAGAGTCCACTACAATCTCTAAATGAGCTTATTCAGGTATTTGATGTTCCATGTGCTAATCAAGAAGATTACAATAGAACCTGGTGTCTGTTTAAGTACTGCATGCAAGCTGCGACGCATTCAATGAACATGAAATCATTCAGGCAGGGACCGTTAGTCAGTGGTGTTAAGTAACTAAGTACATTTATTAAAGTACACTACTCAAGTACAATTTTGATATACTAGTACTTTACTTCATTGTTTAAATGTTTTGCTACTTTGTACTTCTACTAGGGCTGTCCCGAATACCATTTTTCGGGCTCCGGATATTCGGTAGTAATCAGCAGCGAATATTTAAATATCCGGCCCGCGCGGGAGGGGGGGGGTGCGTAGTAATCAGCAGCGAACCGCTTCAACACGTGTATTTCGGTTTATTCACGGCATTCATTTTGTTGTTCTACAGTATTGTTGTTTTATAGTTATTTGTTAATGTAACCCAATTTGTGTTCTTTGAAATTGAAAAGGATATCGCATTGTGTTTGTTACTTTCGTCGCAGTTGTGTCTCAAGTGTAATTTGGCTTGGCTTCCTATTTTGTATGGACATGCTTTTATTTTGAAGGAGTTAGCGCTGTTGACAGGAAGTTGTTGTTGCTATGGAAACAACGTGACGGAGATTAACGGAGGAAAGTCATATCTACATATAAAGACGGAGAAAGTAAACGATAACGTTTATGGTTAAGTGTTAGCACCCCCCGAAGAGGCACAAGCTCTTACGTTGATATTGGAGATTTCAATATATTCAAATAAAAATAAAAACGAATATCCGAATAACGAAATTGAAACCCGAATAGTACTCCAACGAACGAATATTCGGGTACAGCCCTAACTTCTACTCCACTAAAGTTCAGAGGTAAAAAGTATACTATTACTCCACTACATTTATTTAGTACCTTTAGTTGAAATGAAGTATATGTGATATTGAAGTGCAGAGCATGGAAACGTATTTCATGGCTGAATATTCAGCAGCACACACGTCACACTGGAATCACTTCCTACTTATTTTAGTGGCAATTTGACCTTTTAAAGCAGCAGCATTTTCAGTGATCTAATATCCAAACCACGTCCACAAAACAATATGAATTACTTGTCTCCGCCTGCCCAACGGGAACTTTGATTTCACACTGTGAACTTTTTAACCTGTTTTGTTGGAGTTTACTACGATCATTTGTCATGTAGAAAGTATACATTAATATTAAAAAGGTGCGTTTCATTTAAAGTATAAAAAAAGTATATGATTACAAAAGCAGAAGTATAGTGCAGATAAAGTGAAAAGAATACACTTACATATAAAAAAAAAGAAAATAACCAAGTATGCGCACGTTATTAATATTAAAAAGCAAGTAAACCACCATACAGCAGATAAGAACACCATGTTAAAAAAATACATATATTTTAGGAGGCATCTGTTACTGTTTGCCAATTGTAACTAAATCAGATCAAGAGGCCGCTGGTCTGACCCGTAGACTGGGTGATTCCGGCCCAGCGGACTGTCCAATCAATAGAGTATCGAACACAGCAGCAGCTAGTGGAAAGCTCATTAAAAGGCAAGTGATATTAATTGGGTTGGGGGTCTGACAAGGGGGCCTTCTCTGGTTTACCCCCCTGATAATGACCATCAGGATACATTCATCGGGTCAGAGAGGCCAGACGGTGTTAACATAGGGATGTGTAAGTCCTTTATTTTTGGTTCCAGCATGACCTTATATCCTCAGCTATGACACACAGGAAAGAAAGTCTAAAAAAAAGTTCAAAGGAAGAGTGTCAATTCTGATTTGCATAAGGGTTTCATTTTGTAATTATAGTCTAATTAGTCTTCCCTAGCAGACTGAAAACCCATCTGTCTCCACTGCACCTTGGCCAATAGAAGAAACTGTTCTCTCTTCTCAACATTGCCGTATATTATTGAAAGCTTATGAACTTGTAGGAGTTTTGCTTTTTTGAGTCAAGTCCCTTTCGATAAGATCAGTGTATTAATGAAATAAAGGTGAGCAGAGGGAGGCAGGGGTCAGCGGGGCTCACCTCAGGGATAGGGCCCTCCCCTCCAGCGTGCTCCGGTCCTCGCTATGCTGCGGGCTGTCCTCGGGGGTCTGCAGGCTGCTGCTGTCCCTGTGTCTCTCCCCGGTCAGCTGGCAGTAGATGTCCAGCAGCCGCTCGGACACCACGGTCAGCTGAGGGTACCGGCCCACCAGAACCTGCAGAGAGGGGGTCAGCACATTTCTGAGTCATGCCAAACGTCTGTTATAGTGAATGTTTAAGGAATGAGGACATCATTATAATAATCAATGGATTTATAAACAAAAGTAGCCTGTTTCTATGGTTTATATGTTAGCATACATTTTGCATGTTAGATGAACTTCTACATAAAAACATCAGCTGGGAGCTTTTCAAATAATGTTCTATGGTTATTAACAATCAACATATACTGTAGGTGAGGGAAACAAGTTTCAAGATTTACATGAGAAAATCCAACCTAATCTTTTTTTATCTCACTGAATTAAGTATTGTGCAGTTACCAGTAGAAAGGGCAATCGGAAACAAAGCGGAAATCATATTTCAAATCCGTCAAACAGCAATTCTTCTGGACCGACAGTCCAGTTTCAACCATTAGTGGAACATAAGTTCCTTTATCTTATGCCGCATCGGCTCCGCCTCTTTGCCCTTATTTGGATCAGGCTGGAGCAGGCAGGAGTTAGGCTCTGACGCTCTGACGCCTACTAAGGGCTTCTCAGCAACTCTGCAGAAACCTACGGGTGACGTCACGGACACTACGTCCATTTATATATACAGTCTATAGAGAGGCGAAGTCCCGCCCATCTACTTCCGGTCCATGGGACCTTATTTCAGAAAAAGTTTGTATTGAAGTCAATGGGGAGAGAAAGATTATCTTTCGATCCCGTTTGAATTGTGCCACGAATTACACATATGATGTTTGTCAATCTTAAAAAATCATTTCCATGTCAAAAAAAGTCACAGTTTGTCGTAAAACTGTTGAAATATAAGACTATGAAAAATACGCAACTAGAAAGACTACAAATCCCAGAATCCCGGTCCTGCATGCTGGCTCTTACGGGACGGACTAACTCCCCTTGTGTGTATGTACAGCTCTCAACATGCCCAGTGATTTTCACCTCTTTTAATACTTTTCGCCTCATTCTGAAAGAAAGAAGTGAAATGTGCCAACGTGACGGCCGTCTTGGTGTGTGGTGCGAGACGGGAGATGTAGTTCATTGAGCGGTTTCACACAAAAAAAGTGTTACTTCACAGTTTAAGACACATTTTTATTTTTTTGACTTGTAAAATTATCTTTTAAATTGACAAACATCATATGTGTAATTCGTGGCACAATTCAAACGGGATCGAAAGATAATCTTTCTCTCTCCATTGACTTCAATACATACTTTTTCCGAAATAAGGTCCCATGGAGCTCCCCCGGAAAGGGAGGGACTTCGCCTCTCTATGGGCGGGACGTGTAGCGAGCACAGTGGCAGGGTTGGGTTCCGAGTAAGAACAAATAACAATTGTCCGGTAACGGGATTAATAAGAGCTGTGAGGACAGGAGGACCACAGCTCTCTCTCTGTCTCTCTTTCCCCAAGCGACTCCGCTGCCCGTTGTTCTTTCTCTAACACGTAATGAAGGTAATTAAGCGTTTTAGCTCCTATGCTGTTAATATTGACCGCCATTTCCTTTATGAAGTAAACCAGCCTCCCGGTCTGTGTTCTCGCGCTGTCCTCACATCCCGGACTGTGAGACAGACTCGGAGGAGCACAGAGGTGTCAGTATTGTTTATTTGAAAGTACATTATTGAAATGAAAATACTATTTATTTACTTTTACAAACAGTGAGCAGCTGGGCAGCTGTAGCAGATGTATTGCAGGACACATCTAACAAATGACATGTGTTGGACACACAGACTGTGTGGTTGGACTCTGTCTCACAGGCAGGTTGCAGTGTAACATCAGAGGAGACTGGGCCAATTGTACATTTTCAAACTGCACCACTTAGAACTAACTAAACAATGCAGAGATTATTTTTATATAATTTATTATCGATGTTTTGGGCAATACTAAGCACTCCCTGAGACATTTTTGCTCAGAAAAACTAAAGTGAAAAGTAACAAATAATAAAATAATATAAATCTTGATCTCTAACTGCTTTTAGCATTTCATTCTTCCATACCTGCATTTGTTTTGCCACCCGCAAAAAACAAAACTACAAATAAATATGTTTCTTTTAAACTTGTGATTAATGAAATAATTGTATTGTGATTAATCAGATTACATATTTTGATCTATTGACAGCACTAATATAAATAAATAACAAAACTCTCTAAACCATTTTGATATTTTGTTATCTCTACTGTACGCAGTTTCAGTGTAGTCCATACATCATCCACTCGTAGCTCTCACTACTGAGATTATTAATTAAGAGTCGTTTATTTATCCCATATTCAAATCTTTCTTTTCATCCTATTTTCCTTCCATCAGGTAACCGATATACATATACATATATACATACACCGCATATACCAGAGTTTCCGTTAGCCGGTAATTACCGGTAAAATATGCTGAAGACCGGAAAATCTAAATGTCTCCGGTCAAAATGTCCGGTCAAAATAATTTCCCCTTAGCACAATACCGCATCAGTTGCGCCACTTATGTGACAGACAAGAATAGTCAATTCTAATGTCTAACATTTAATGTGGAGAAAGAGATGTCCTGTATGGGTTGATTGTGCGTTGATCTGTTGATAATGCCTCCGGTGGGCATGTAAACAAATGCATAATGCTGCACTATACTTTGCGTCCTCACCCGGTTGCATAGCGACGCTTATTGTTTAGGTGTCTTTTAATAAGCAGGTAGTCATATCATTAGCTAGAACTAGCTAGATCTGATCGATATGGACATAAACGCGAGTGAAGTCTAATCTGACGGGAGAGAGAGATCGGCTGCTGCTGACGAGTCGACACGCAGCTCTGCATGATCACCTGCAGCGGTGAGCAGAGCAAAACACACTTCAGGTTAGAACATCACACGTAGCTATTTGAATTACCTCTCAAACTACCTAAACTAGTTATAGATATGTTTAGTTTTACTGTCGGGTCACTCATTACTGGATCCGCGAGCTGCATGATACTGACGGGCTGTCAGGAGAGGGAGAGAGCGCTCTGTTTATTATTCCCGTGTTATTGTAAATTACTGTACACTTTTGAATAATGTAGTTAATCTACTATAATTAGTTTGTTTAATATCGAATCATATCAATATGTTTTAAAGCTCAATAAATAACAAAGAAGACCTTTGACCGGCACTTTTCCCATTTTGTCCGGAAGATTTCAACTTTAACGGACATTTTGACCGGCAAAAAAAATTCTAACGGAAACTCTGGCATATACATCCCACCCCATATTCCCTAACTATAGCTAACTTTGGTACATGTTTATGCACACCTGGGTAATATTTTATGGCACGGTTCTGGACTGATTCCCACAAAGCAGTACAACATTTGGAAGGCCCGTATCCCCAGTAAAGTAAAAGTGTTTGAGTATGATTGGACGCTTCCTTCCTTCCTTCAGGGTTTTACTCTAACACTGGTTTCTCCCAAAGCTCTATCAGCTCATTCAGGACAACACCTATATGACGTCCATGTACTCCTCTGTAAATAGCGGGCTGATAGACAGTATGGCTGTGCAGCTGTGGGGGTGCATCACTCACCTTCTTCAGCTCTTCTCTGGGCATGTTCCCCATCTGCAGCTTGGTCCAGTATTTGTCCAGCAGCGCAGCGTGAGAGTTCTGTGGTTTGTGCCAACTGCCCCCGCTGTAGTACATCCTGAAAACACCGGCAGAACAAATATCATACCATGCTCACTTTAGGCAGGGACTGGCTAGGCTTAAGTCGGCTGGGTTTGAACTTTATCATGTTCTCATTTATCACAAAACTACTTCCTTCACTATTCTACAGCTGAATGCTGGTATACAGGATTTATTGAATCAGAATCAGGTTATTGAGGTATGATTACACATACGAGGAATTTGCCTTGGTGTATATGGTGCATACATCAAACACATTTAAAGATCAAATGTAAGAAAAACCACCCAAAAATAAAAACTATTATAAGATTAGAAAATGATTTACATGAAATATAGATATACCAAAAAACTATGTACAGTATACTCATAATTTTTTCATAATGTTATGAAAAGAGGAAATCTGTGTAGATACTGAGAGAGGCAGCTTGTGTACAAATGTGCAAAAATATTTGACCTCATGGATGGATATTTCCTTTCTTATCCTGAAACTGTCTACCAATTGTTCTTAACCGGCTGTAAATTGCTTGTCTCAAATTGCTAAACTGTTCAGGAGCACTTTTGTGGCTTTCATCTTTTTAAACGATGCCCCCAAACAGTGCTTCCTGTTCTGCTCCATTTGTGGGTAGGTGTCAAATACAAAAACCTTACCAAAGATGAAAAAACAAAACTCACTATTCAACCTCCAAATAGTCACATCTCTACAAACAGCTGATTCATAATGATGTTATTTTCTGACCTTCTTGTTGCAAAGAACAGAAACCCAGGAGCGACGTCGATGCAGTCCTCCCGTCCGGGAATCATCAGCTTCTTATTCTCCATCAGAGGCAGGAGCACGGAGATCTAAGAGACAAATACAGTTGTGGGTTTTTTCATTCACAACAAACATCAAGCTGCTTATACGTTTTAAGATATATTGAATATATAATAACCTTCCTGTCAAATTTGACCCGTTTTGAATGTTTTTAAGTCAAAATAAGGGGTTATTTCATTTAATTGCCACAAAAATAACATAATTATCACTAATGTCATGGTGCATCTGGTGTCACTGTGCTGCCATTTAAAGATTTGAATGCCTGAACACACTGCTGCTGAAACAAAATAATATCCCAGTTTGGGATCAATAAAGTACCTATATGTCTATCTATCTTAAAAGTTGATTTAAAACTGAATTATTTCTAAACTTTGACATATACAAGTCTGTTCTAATCTATTGCCATATGTTCCTCTGATCTTAACTATAGTCAAAATATTGGCTTTTTTTACTCAAAAAACTAAAGTCAAAACTGAAAATAAGTTTGCTTAAAGAGTGTTATGTAGATTTGGGTGGTGATTTATACGATATGCTTTCTTAACAGTCAAACCAAGACAAACATTGCACAGTGGAAGGTGAGACAACCCAAGGGTTAAGGCCATATTTGATACAGTTCTCAACAAGTGTGAACTCACCACATCCAGAGGCGCGTGGTCGATGTCCTCCAGGAGGATCCACTGGCCTTTAGAGACAGCCTGAGTCAGCGTCCCGGGCTGCCACACAAACTTCCCCGGGATATCAGTGCAGCGGTACATCCCCAGCAGCATCTGGGACACACACACAACACAGGACAGATGTTCACCTCCATCTCATCCAGATTCAATGTTAGAGCGGCACTCCATAGGTAAGAATTCATCCCTGCTATATGGGTCATGTGTTCTACAAGGTGAGACACCGGGAGCCCGGTTATTTAATATTTGAACATCCATAAAGTTTGGGGACAGAGAAGCATACAACGAGCAAAATCCAAGTAGCAAAGGCAGAGACACCCTGACTTTAGCATAGCATATAGAGAGGCGAAGTCCCTCCCCTTCCGGTGGGACTCATGGGACCTTATTTTGGAAAAAGTTTGTATTGAAGTCAATGGAGAGAGAAAGATTATCTTTCGATCCCGTTTGAATTGTGCCACGAATTACACATATGATGTTTGTCAATCTTAATTAATAATTTCCATGTCAAAAAAGTCACAGTTTGTCGTAAAACTGTTGAAATATAAGACTATGAAAAATACGCAACTAGAAAGACTACAAATCCCAGAATCCCGGTCCTGCATGCTGGCTCTTACGGGACCGACTAACTCCCCTTGTGTGTATGTACAGCTCTCAACATGCCCAGACTTGGAGTGATTTTCACCTCTTTTAATACTTTTCGCCTCATTCTGAAAGAAAGAAGTGAAATGTGTCAACGTGACTTCGCCTCTCTATTGCAAAAGCACTTCATTTATAGGTTTTTTGTTATTTAATTAACCTGTAATTTCCTGATATGTTCATGTGCAATGTGAATTTGAACATTTAGTAGGTAAAGTTACAAATACATGGAGTAAAGCTCACACAGACACAGAGGGCAGCTCAGGGGTCCTTTAGGTGAAACGCAAAGAGGTCAAATCATTGTTTATTAGACAGTGCTGAGTGTATGCAGCCTCCTGCAGGGATGTGCTTGTGCTCTTGTATGGTACAGGTAACTAATGAATGAGAGGTTGTATAAAAGTATTGAAACAAATGTATATTGTATATGTATAACTGTCACAAGCTGGCGGTAATACATATATACACATATATATATATATATATATATATAAATATATATAAATATAAAAATATTGTATTTATCGTAGTTTTTACAAGTTTCTTTGTTTTAAAAGAATGCACGCCTGGAAGTCCCTTTGAAGTCCAAGTGTGGAACATAAGCTCCAAATATACTAGATCCTACAATTACCATTATACGTCTCCATGCTGTTGTTAATAGACCCCCCCCCTGCTTCCTGAGTACTCCCCGCCTCAGTAAACTGTGCTTCCTGTGTGCTCTCACCTTGCTGTCGGTCTGATCCCCGAGCTGCACCTTCAGGATGTCTGTAGCTTTTGTGTGTCCTGTGACGGCAGCCATGAACTCCACCAGGGCAGTTTTTCCACAGCCAATGGGACCTTCGAGCAGCACAGGCTTCTGGGAAGCCACGGCCAGAGCCAGTCTCCTCAGATTCCGGCACGTTGAGTCCACCAGCACCAGATCCTTTTGGTTCCTCTGCAAGTAAGATCAGCATCAGGACCAAAACACCATATGATACACTTTATTGTCTCGCAAGGTCAAATCATAAATACTACATAGTACATGAGAAGAAAACACCATATTCCCACATTACACAGACAACATACTGACAGTGACCCCATTGCACAAATCTGGAACTCTGGGTGGAGGATGTGGGTGGGATCAGATGTAATCTTTTGTGCCCGTCTAATGATTGGCTGCTCATAAATGCTCAATAAGATCCACAGCAGAGTATTTGGATGGGACAAACTAAAGGGTAAATACCTGTTCAGGCAGTCGAGGAGCTATCCTGGGAAGGATGACGCCGCAAACTGCCACCACGTTCTGGGAGAGGTCCTCTGACACCACCTGGCCTCTGGTGAACTTATTGGCTTTCTCCTGGCGCCACACCACAGAGCCCTGATTGGCTAACACCAGAGCTTTCTCTACCTCCAGCTGCTGGCTTTCTTCCAAAGATCTTAAGAAGTAACAAAGAAAAAGTTATAAAACCGAGACGATAGTTCGGTACCTTTATTCTCTAACATTTGGAGTTCATACTTTGACTTGTAATTGAGTATTTTTCAGATTGTATTGTTCGTATTAAAGGGTACCTAGTAAAAACTAAAATCTGAAAACCTGTTTTACCACTTATGGATGGTAACTAAACTTCTAACCCATAATGCTCTGCCCTACTTATGGTTCATTTCATACGAACTCACCGAGGCATCCCGGGTTATGTTATATATTGTTCAATTTTTCACTGGACTTGGTTGACATTTCTACTAAACAGCAAGAGGGGGGTGCGTAGCAATCAGCAGCGAACCGCTTCAACACGTGTATTTCAGTTTATTCACGGCATTCATTTTGTTATTCTACAGTATTGTTGTTTTATAGTTATTTGTATATGATCCAATTTGTGTTCTTTGAAATTGAAAAGGATATTGCATTGTGTTTGTTACTTTCGTTGCAATTGTATTTGTCTTAAGTGTAATTTGGCTTGGCTTCCTATTTTGTATGGACATGCTTTTATTTTTGAAGGAGAGTTAGCGCTGTTGACAGGAAGTTGTTGTTGCTATGGAAACAATGTGACAGAGATTAACGGAGAAAAAGTAATATCTACATATAAAGACGGAGAAAGTAAACGATAACGTTTATGGTTAAGTGTTAGCACCCCCCGAAGAGGCACAAGCTCTTACGTTGATATTGGAGTTTTCAATACATTAAAAAAAAAACGAATATCCGAATAACGAAATTGAAACCCGAATAGTACTTCAACGAACGAATATTCGGATATTCGGGTACAGCCTTAGTACTGTGTAGTATTTGTTTAGTTTGATGTCTCCTTAACAAAAAGTGTTGGCCTTTCATAAAAAAATTCAACAGATCTCGCCTTATGTAGAACATAATATATAAGACTAGCCATATATTAAAAATATATATATATTAGTATTTTCTAACACTTTATAGTGGCTGTTATCTGATATGACAAAAAAAGAAAAAGGAACATACTTGAGTTTCATGTGCAGGATCTCATCACTGGTCAGCACTTTCCTCTGGAAGATGGTTTTCTGATTATCAGTCATATGAGAGACCAGCGCTAAACACTGGGCTGTGTACCTGTGACACACAACAAGAAAACACAGTAAGTCTCATTTGTAAGGTAAACAAGCAGAAAGCAAAAGAAGGCCAAGATGTTGTAGAAAGTTCGAGAGTTCTTGACATTATATCTGAGCTCAGTTCAGATACCGTGACTCCCAAACATTGTATAGCTGAACGATGATTCCTCCATCAATTTATTAAAGCATCAGAAAAGGGTGCTTCATGCTTGTTTATTCGCAGAAGAAGGAATTCTCATAACACGATGGAAACCCCCACATACTGTATTTATCAAGCAATGGATATCTTCCTTCCATGACCTACTGATCTCAGAGCTGTCAATCACTTCTGCTAACAATGCTAAAGGAGAAACACTGGAGGCTATATAAAGAGCTGCTGATCTGGTGATTTCTCACACTCTACTGCACTGCTTTTTTTTAATTAATACTTGCAGCTTGTTAACTATACTGATGAATGTTACATCAATTGTCTGTAACTGTACCGTTACCATTCTTGGGCCAGGACTCTCTTGAAAAATACATTTTAATCTCAATGAGTTAAATAAAGGTAAAATAAAAATAAAATAAAATATTTTGCTTCAGAAACCTAACACTGCCAAATAAACTCAACAAGTCAAAATGAGCATTTCTAGTTTAAGCTAGTCTACTGTTTCAGAATAAAGCTTATGGCGGTTGTAGAAGCCAACAAGAGTAACTTGGATTTTTGAAATGATCCTGTGGTTTATTCAAGTGCCATGACTGTGCGACATCGAGCTGGCATGAACAACGCCAGGACCCTCGAATGGAAAAAAGCTGCAGGAAATTCAGCCATCAGCCAGTTTGTTATTTACAAATGTGCTTTAAATATTGTGACATGTCAAAACGTCTTCCGTCAAATAGGCCAATTGTAGAAACTTGAAACATATTTGGGAAAAATAATGTGAAATCTTCATCATATAGGTGAATGATTACAAAATATTATTATTACAACATTATAACAGTATTTTGAGAATAATAACGCTTCATGTTTTAGATTGACTCTGTTTAGCAAGTTCCAAGTTTCTGCAAGCTAACCAAGTGGATACTTTGGAAATGCCTCTTGTGGCCCAGGGACGGTACATACCCTCGCACCATGACATCACTGGTGAGCAGCTGGGACACGCAGGGGCTCCAGTCCCACAGCATCCGGAACTTGGCACAGTCACTCTGGAGGAAGCGCAAGGTGGCCCCCATGAGGTCCCGCAGCTTCATCCTCCGCGGGCCGTACTGAACAGCCGACGCCTCTTCACTGGTGAAGAAGAGCCTCTGAAACACTGGGGGGGCATTGTTGAAGTACCTGGCAGCAAACCTGATGGAGAACAGTGGATTACACAGGACAGGGGTTCAGTCTTTTATCATGTAATCCAATGCCAATATGTGTCTGTAGTAGGGATGGGAACGATTAATCGAATATTCAAAATTATTCAGGTATTCGAATATGAGATATGAATATTTTTATTTTTTTTGGGAGGGGTGCCTAAGTTGATTACATATGATCTCTAAAGGCAAATAGAAACATGGGAGAAGTGTTGGTAGTGATGGGTGTCAATCAGGGCCCTCATCTAATTTCACCCAATGGGCCCCATAGTGATTAAACCCAGCCATGTGACCAGCTGTAGTACCCCGAGCGTCTTTGGGTGCTCTGCTGAATAGAGGGGACATTTCTGAAGTTCACCAAAGAAAATAGGAGTGTGTTACTTACGCCTGAGCATCAGGGCTGATGCCGAGCAGTTTGCTGAGGGCCACACACAGGCGCTCGTGGAGGTCATGGTTGATCCGGCCCCCAGCTTTGACCCTCTCTGCGTTTCGCTCCAAAAGGTCCAACACCAGGGGCCTCAGATGTCGAGCAATCAGTAAAGTATAGTCCTTCTCCAGCAGCAGCTGAGACACACAGTCCAGAATACACTGCCTGTCCTGCTGGCTCCATATCTGAGGAGAGATCACAGAGGAAAGGTCCACATTGAGACATATTGATTGGTTGAAATAAACACATACATCAATATGTCTACTAAGCATTATAATAATGGGTATTATTATGGCAGCAGAATGCTTTTAATGACACAACACACTAATATGATGCACAGTGACCACTGACATGTGAAGGGAAGGTAACTGCACGCACGCACGCACGCACGTTTTGAGTCAAATTAAAACACTCTGACACACAGATTTGTTTAATACACTAGAAATTAACACATCTTACCTGTTTTGATAGATATTGGGACAGTTCGTTGTGACTTTTGTCAACATGTCTGGATATGGTACCCAGTGATGGCAGGCTCAGTTCTAAATTCTCCATCGTATCATTTGTCGCCTCGTGAGGGTCGCTCTGCTACGGAAACAAGCTCGCGCGGTCTATGATTATATGTATCTTGATTTACTCTTATTAAAACAAACTGTGTGATAATTACGCGCTTGTCTGTCTCGGGCTGTTTCACAACACATGCACGTTCCCGTCACTGGTGTTAAATCCTGTCCACATGTGAGTGAAGCGCAATTCCTTCCGGGTCACGTCCATCGTTTAGAGTTAACCACGCCCACTTCCGCATCAACGTAGCTCTGCGCTACTGCGTCATGGATGAATAAAGAGAATTTGCCGTCCCCATAGCAACACATCCGGGTATTTCATCATGTAAACAGAAATGTATTTACTTTTTAATTCGTTTGAAACAATTTTCCATGATTTTTTTATTTAATCTTCATGACGGGTGTTAAAGTATAATACCAATATTTTGGTCCAGCTCAGGACATCATGGGACTGTTAAAGTGAAAAACAGTTACAGGGTGGACATATGCTAAACTTGCCTATTGCTACTTGTGTGAGCTAGCACTTGGTGTCAACAGAAATAGATATTTGATAAATATATTAAAGGTCCCCTATTATACTGTTTTTGATCAATATATTATAGGTCTCAGATATATACAAAACATGTCTTTGTGTGTTTGGCTCAAAATACCAAACAGATCATTGTAGCATCCCATAATACCCTCTGTTTCAGCCCTGTGTCCAAAGTGCTGATTCTCTGTCTGTTACTTTAGATGAAAATAAGGAGCCACTCCCCACGCCCCTCTGAGAGATATTTGGTTAAAAATAACACAATGGTGCTCTAGGAGGAGATTCAGGTGATAAGGTGAGGGGGTTACCTTGGTTGGTTATTGGCTAATCATGGCAGGGTTGCCAACTTTGGGTAGGCCTACCTGGCTGGAGTGAGATTTTGATATCATGGGTTAAATTACACGTATGCGCACTAAAAGACTGCTAATGTGTCAGTAGCGGGACCTTAGCATATATATATAGGATATTTATACAATATATACAAATACACAATATTGGACATAGACTATAAAGGGCACAAAGTCACTAATGAAAGTCAAACACATGTTTGTTTCCACTGTTTTATTGTGTGCATATGTAGCAAGAACAACATATAACCAATACATCGCCTGTCCCGATAAGCAATTCATTGACTTATCGTAAGATAAATAAAAATGAACTCGATAACTTTTCTGACCTCGATAAATTGTACATGCGTGTTTGTTTACATAAGGATGTGACTAGCAGTTTGAAAGGATGTACTTGAATTATTATTATATATTATCATTATGTCAGTGATCTAAAATGGTCATACAACGGTGCCGACAATATTATCATTTATCGCAATAATTTCCGGGAAAATGTATCTAACAAAATTAATTATCGTGACAGGCCTATACATGAAACACACACACACAAACAAATCTACAGACTTACTCTGCCAAATATATTAATTAACACACTCTCACTCTCATACACTCTTTGACTCTATTTTTGGCCTATTAGAACAATAAGCAGCAGACTTTGACTTGTTTATAATTTCTACTGGATCTTAGATCTGTGCATGCGCAATACGGGTCGGGGATTGACCAACCGGCTCCCACTGCTCTGCTGTCTGTTAACATTGTTAAGAGTGGTGGGGGCTGGGACGGAGCGGATCGACAGCTTGAGCAACTTAACATTGTAAATAACCAACAAAAAACGATCGCCGGATCATCTTGTTTTTGGCGTGAGAATAGTTTGGGCAGCATGAGAGCGTGAGTCACACGCCAGATGTGTGAGAGTTGGCAACCCTGCTAATGACAAGTAAAAAAAAACGTTATGACATCATAAAGTGGCCAAAATCTGATCAGCTCATTTTCAGACAGGTTATTATATAAATGGATTGTTGGGGAATAATTTCCCCTGCATGTCCTCCTTCGCCCTCTGACGCAGATGCCCAACCAAGCCGTTATCTCCCATAAGGAGGGGCTGCCCTAGCATATTGTTGTTGTTACCAGTTTATGACCGGGCAACTCTCGGTTAGAGATAGTTGTTGTTGTGGGACACCTGGAACACATCCTTCTCGGGGTGTAGATGACCCCGAGCCATAAGCGACAACAAATGTGATTCAGTGTCCTCAGCTGTTTAGTCTATCTATTGAAGAATGTTGATTATTACACTCTGAACGTTAAAACCTCGATCTACAGGAGGGTTCTTCAGAATTGATTGTTGCATCGCAACCGTGTGGTCAAACCGTGGCCCGTGACATGTCTTGTGAATTCTCCGGCCGAAGCTCCAAATAAATCGTCAGTGTTTGCCATCAAAGCTCCAGCTCTCCATCGTGTCTCTCTACCCTTTCACACCGGCGCTTTTCCAGCTCCTGCTGGGAGCTAGAGCCTGAAAAGCGCCGGTTTTTCCTGTTCACACCGCAGCGGCGGCGCCTCATAGCTCCAGAAAGCGGTTCACTTCCAGCTCCAAAAAATTGTCGGTCCAGAGGCAAGAGCTTCGGAGCTATGACGCGGCGTCGCTTACGTCGAGGCGTGCAGGAAACCTTACTTTGACCATCCGTTCGCTGTTATTGATCATTGTGGAGATACATGGGCTATACAGGTTGTCATGTCCGACTATCAGAAGTAGAATCATAATGAAAAATACGCCGGTAAAATGTGCCTATAGAAAACGGCTTAGCAAGTAGTCAGTTTAGCTTCGGTTGCTATGCTAACATCACCCATGTTATACCAGAGAAACTTTCATAACAGCGTTGTGATGCCAAACAGCGTCAATTCAGACTGACACACATTCACTTAAGGGGAACTATGTATCAGCTGCTTGTGTGACAGTCAGACAGTGAATACTTTAGAGCCGTGTGAGCTAACCCGGAGCTAACGGGACAATAAACTCCCGTGGAAGTGCAGCCACTGCAGCGGTCGGTAAATGCCGCTGAAACACATTAATAAACAATGAACCACGGCACTCTGGAGAAAAGTATAAGGTTGGAGAAGTCGTTATTTAATTTAATCTGGCTTCGTATGATTAAAAGCAACACGATCATCGACCCGACGCAGTCCCCGGCCCGTTGTTGTTGTGGGAGAAAATCAGCGACGTAAACTGTGACGTCATGACGCAGCAGCGGCAGCTCTGGGCAGTGTGAACAGAGCGGGAGCTGAAAAGGGAAACGGGAGCTGAACCAGAAAGGCTCTCGCGAGGAGCTAGAAAGTGAAAAGCGCCGGTGTGAAAGCCGCATATGAGTCCTGACTCCAATTGCTTCAGAAGTTTCCCCCACATGGATCAGGACAAAAAGAGAGCAAATATTTTTTCCTGAAACTTTCCGAATCTCTTTACACAGAGGGGACACATGTTTATGTATAAAAGACATGAAAAAGTGTGTTTTGTATGATAGGTCCCCTTTAACCATATTTTCTAAATTACAAAAATAATCTGTTTCCACTGAAAATAAGCATAACAGGATGGACATGTTATGCTTTACCGCAACAGTCAAGCTCTTTAAAAAACATTAAAAACACTTTGAATGACGAACTTCTTGTAAACGATGTTCCCGCTCAAAGTGAATTCTTCTTAAATGGTAGGATAGTAAAGTGGCCTGGCCAGGGGGATTTAAATCAGAGTAGCAGGGTGGACATTCAAACCTGGGACACACACTTTAAATAAAACAAACACTTTTGTTATTAATTCGTTTTTACATTCTATGCTATTTTTGTTTGCTTCTTTGAACTTCTACCCCACTACAATTCAGAGGTAAATGGTGTACTTTTACTCGACGACATGTATTTAATCTTACTTTACAGATTTGGATTAATGATGAAATATAATCAAGTGTTAAATCAGACTGTAGTTCCACCTGGAGTAAATTCACAAGCTACCCTGCAGTATACAAAGTCATTCAAACTAGCTGCACCTTTACCAGCTTTGAGAACACTTTCATGATCAATCATTATAAAACATATCATACAGTATATATTATTCTGAAATGGACCAATCTATACAATGACTACTTTTACTTTTGGTACTTTAAGTATAATTTGATGCTAATACTTTTCTACTTTTACTTGAGAAACATTTTGAATGCAGGACTTTTACTGTACTTGTCCTTGATCTCATATTCTCAAGAAACTGCACTACTTCTAACCTCTCTGTAAACCCACTTCACACATCCGACCACTTTTTCATTTCATTCTCTCTACCCCTTTCCAAACATAACAAACTAATCTCTTCTCATTCTGCACCTGTCCGCCGTAACCTTCGTTCCCTCTCCCCCTCTACCTTTGCCTCATCGGTGCTCTCAGCCCTCCCTTCCTCTGACTCGTTCCAACTCCTGCCTCCAAACTCTGCTGCAGAAACTCTCCTCTCTACTCTTTCATCCTCTCTGGACTCTCTCTGTCCTCTCACATCTCGGCAGGCTCGTCAGTCCCTCCTGCTCCCTGGCTAAATGACGCACTGCGTGCTAATAGAACCATCCTTAGGGCAGCAGAGCGGAAATGGTGGAAATCCAAACCCCATGACGACCTCCTAACCTATCAGGCTCTCCTCTTTCTCTGCTTCGATCTCTCAGGCAAAAAGCACTTTCTTTCAAGATAAAATCCATTCTTCATATTCTAACCCCAAAAAACTATTGTATATCTTCTCCACCCTCCTCGAACCCCCCAAAGCCCCTTCCCCCTCCTCCCTTCTGTCAAGCGACTTTGTTAACTACTTTGAAAAAAAGGTTGATAATATTCGCTCTTCTTTTTCCGACTCACCTTTACTCACCGCTGGGTCACCAGACCCACCGTTCACCCACACACTAACCTCCTTTTCCCCTCTCTCTCCAAGTGAGGTTCTTACCCTCGTTACCTCTGCCCGTCCTACCACCTGTCCTCTGGACCCTATCCCCTCAAACCTCCTTCAGACTATCGCTCCTGATATTCTACCGTTTCTCACCCATTTCATCAACACTTCTCTAACTTCTGGTCACTTTCCAAACAGTCTCAAGGAGGCAAGAGTAAACCCTCTCCTAAAGAAACCCACTCTCAACCCGTCTGATGTTATAAACTACAGGCCTGTCTCTCTCCTCCCATTCCTGTCTAAAACACTTGAACGCGCTGTCTTTAAACAACTCTCCTGTTATCTCCATCAGAACAACCTTCTTGATCCGCACCAGTCTGGTTTCAA